AATGAATAGCCTTAGGGAAAGCTAAATAAACCTTTCCTTCCTTAATTTGGGGTATCTGGGTATTTTGTCCCAACAACCAGTAAAAAGTAACTGTGAAGTCAACTTAAATATTTATACGTGAAGTGGTGTGTCTGCAAATTGTATCAAAACAGTAAGGAGAGAAAAGGTGTACGTAAAATAAGATTGGCAGTGAGTCCACGACTGCTAAGCCAGATGATGGACATATGTACTTTGTTTTTGTCCTGGGAACTGAACTCAAGACCTCGCACTTGCCACGCAGGCACTATGCCACTGAGCTACAGCCCCATCACAAATGTAGTATTGATTCTTTTTGATGATACTGGGAATCCAAAACAGGCCAGTGCTCTATCACTGAACCACACTCCCAGTCCCACAAGAGGATTTATTATGCTACTCTCTCCCCTTTCGTATACCTTTGAAAATGATAAAAATATTTTACTTTTTTTTTGTTTGTTTGTGGAACTGGGGCTTGAACTCAGGCCCTTCCGCTTGCCAGGCAAGCGCTTATTCTATTGAGCATCTCCTCAGCCAGATAAAAATATTTTAAAACACAAAGACATAAGCAAGAAGATGGAACTCTGCAATGCCCAGTTTTTTAGATAACTGCTCAGGCAATTTCCCCAAACCCTTTGAGGAAATGGAAATTAAAAAAAAAAAAAAATGATTGAACCTATATGCAACAGAGACCCAAGAGACGCAGTTTGTTTATCTGCAGTGCTGGGGACTGAAGCCAGGGCCTCGAACAAGCCAGCCAAGTGCTTGACCACTGAGACATACTCAGTTTGCTCCCCAGTCCTGGGAGAGAAAAAGGACATCAGAATTGGAGGAGGAAGCATGGCTAGAAACGTGAAGGAAAAGCAACACAATAATTCCTGAGGAGGATGGAGAAGGGGACAAAACAAAAGAATTAGGATGCGTCACGTATGTGTAGCAGGTCCCCACGTGGAACAGGATCATTGTGTACTGCAAACGTGTGCTGATGATAATAGAAAGAGCACTGCAACATTCCCACCACTGAGCTCACTTCAGAACAATAAAGCAACTGCTAATACTTTACACAGCCAAAGGCTCAGGGATTTTGACCTAATCATGCACAGCTAGAGAACCCGTGCAATGCAAGACCTTGTTTTGAAATATTTTGAAGCTTTAATGCCTGGACTAAAACCAGCATTTAGAAACATTCCCAAGGGCTGGCAGAGTGAGAGCACAGTCCTAGCACGCTGTCTGCTTCCTCGGTGCCGTGCGCTCATGGGACCTCCAGACCCGTGCGGGTGGACGGTCGTGTTCTGTCCACTTGCGCTGCATAGATTTGAGGCTGCCCGGTATCATGTTTTAAAGTTACTCCTCCTTGTAAATGGAACTTTAACAGAACAGGTGGTCGGTACCTGCCCAGTGTTTGTGTGTGTGATACTAGAGAGCAAACCCAGGCCTTCATGCAAGCCGTGTGCTACACATAGCCACCCCCACAGCCCTGCCCAGTGTACCCTCCCCGCATGCTCTTACTTCCAGTTTCCGGAGTCTTTTTTCTTTTTTTTTTTTGCAGAACCAGGGATTGAAATCAGCCCCTTGTGCTCGCCAGGCAAGCACTTATTCTACTGAGCCATCTCCCTGGCCCCTCTGGAGTCCTCAGGTAAGCCAGCGCTTGTGTAAACAGTGCTTCTCATCACACCTTCCAAGAACAATTACTTATTTTTTGCTTTTCCTGATGTATCACTGCCTATAACTTCTGTGAAATGTAGAGAGTCCTTTCTGGCCCTCATTTTGGTCCAGGAAGTTTTATTTGTAATCCCATGGATAAGTTATTAGAATCCTGTTAAAGAGACGGGGGAGATGGCTCAGTAGAATAAGTGCTTGCCTGGCAAGCGCAAGGGCCTGAGTTCAATCCCTGGTTCTGAAAAAAAAAAAAAAAAAAGAAAAAAAAAATTACAGTCCTGTTAAGTTAATCTACCACAGTGCAACCCACAGCAAAAGTAGACACTAAGGCATATCTGTAGTTTTGGGGAGCCAAGAGGTACTAAGTGCAGCCACAGTGACAGGTATCTCGAACAAAGGCCTCAACCCTGGGCCAAACAGGGTTTTATTCATTCATAATGAAAGAAACAGCTTGAGGACGACTGTGCGAACGGCAGGAAGTAGGTAGGAGGCCTGCATTTACCTCTGCACTATGCAGAGAGAAATCTGCATTACACAACTGACATAGTGTCTGATGTTTTGGGGTTGGTGCTTCAGCTTTGACCCACAACCTTTCAAGGCCCAGGAAGTCATAGCCTCAATCTGGAGGCTGGATCCTGGCCGACAAGACAGCGTGGAGCACTGGCTCCTCCTCCTGTCCAGACCCAACTCACACTAGAGAGCAGCAGGTGGGGGTTCCAGGGAAACAGGCCTGCCATCTTCAGACTGCTACCAGAACCTCAGCTAGATCAATATGCATTGTTTAAAGCCAATTGAAGGGCTACGGAAGCGTCCTAGCCAGCTCTGTACACGTCAATACAAGGAAATAGGGTCAGGCTCAGCCAAAATGGAGACAGTTGCTCTTCTTTCAAGAAAAGTCTTCTAGGTGGTCCTATACAGTAAAGTATTTTAAAAATAAAAGTCTGGAATTAAACACATGCAAAATCCAAGCTCAGATATTTTTGTATTCAAAGCCCACATAAAATGACTGTCAAATCACTCAGACACTGTCAACTCCTGGTATCCTGTTGCTCATCACATACTCGAGCACCAGTACTGAAAACCATTTATCAGGATTCTCTCATCAAGTCTGAGTCTTTCCACTGGTAGCTTGATCCATTTGTAATCATTGGTACGTTTGGCTGATTCTGGCTGTCTCCTCTTCTCCATCACGTTATGCATGGCACCAAATTAGAATCTGAGGTCATTATTGGACATTGCCTTTTTTCCCCCTCTTTGGTCCCCACCTATTATTATTATTTACAGTACTGAGAATTGAGTGTAGGTCCTTCACTGAGCTACATCTCCAGCCTTTCTTAGTTTTTAAGAAAGGGCCTGATGAAGTTGCCCGGGCAGGACCCAAACTCACACCCTCCTGCCTCTGCCTCCTGAGTGCAAGGATTATGGACACAAGCCACAACAGGTCTACCAACCATTCACCACTCACCTGGACCTGTTATCTACTACAGCACGTCTGATTTGGCTTTTCACATGTAGGGATTTCAACCACTAGTATTTAAACATAACATTCTAAAGTCCTTTCCTGGCCAAGCAATGGCCGTGACTCATCCACATGGCTGACACTGACAAAGGATCTACAATCTGAGGTACAGGATCTCAGGATAAATCCTGAGGGGTTTTCACTGACCTTATCAGACCCAAAAGCTACAACTCTTGTTGCATAGAACCTCCTTTACCTTGGTCTTAACCACCCAGCAGAAAAGTATAAAAACGAAATATAAGAAGTAAAGCCATGCTGTTATGTTGAGCTGTAGGGGACTCAGGTCAACAATTTCTGACACTGCCAGTCAAGCAGAAGACCCAATACTATTATGGGCTACTGGACTCTTTTAGAATATTTTGCTGAGTTAACACACCTATAATATTCAAATAACGGACCTAAACAAAAAAGGGGATACAGATGAATGTCCATTTTGTATCTGTGTATTCAAAATGGTTAGGATAGATACATAGTTACATTCTCTTAATGAATCGAGGGATTTGTTCTAATAGTGTTTGTAAATAGGATATCATGTCTGCATCATGTACAGCAAATAACCACTAGGAAGAGAGTATGCAATGTGTTAATTATTGAAACTGTCCTATTTGATTTGAAACTGTCTCATTGCTATTTGTTTCTCAATAAAATTATGGAGGAAAAAAAATAGTCCTTTCCTTCAGTCCTTAAAAAGCGCAGCTATGCAAAGAAGCTGCTCTGGAGAATCCGATGTCCACGGGATCCCCAGCCCTTTGGGCTTCGGATCTACTCATTCTTTCTGGAGGCCCCAGAGTGCCTGTTACACTTTGCTCCCCAGCAGTGAAAATCAACGAACAGCAGAGATGTTACCAATATAAAAAGGCTCTCACCACACTGAAACATGACAACACACACTGTCCTTTCATCCTGTCCCAAAGCATGCCAACTAAACAGCAAAGTATCCAGGAGTGCAGACAGATGGCAAACTAGAGGAAAGTTGTGAAAAGGCACACCAGAGCTCAAGGCGGTGACTCTTGGTGAGGGACAGAGCTGACGTAGGAGAGGGGCCCAGGGTGGTCGGCATACTGCACACACGCAGCAGCCCAAAGACAGCAACACGAGCACTCTTTTCATCATCATTAAAAATCCCTTACTGGTATCTCTGCACACATCACTTATTATTAGTGGCTCACCTGTGGCAGACTGCCCAGAAGCGGCTCCTGAGTCAGGATGCTGGACCAGCAGTACAGCTGGCCACGCATGTCACCAAGTACCAAGGAACCAGAGATAGAGAAAGAACAGAGAGGGTCTAGGCTTGCTCTAAATTGACAAATATAGGCCTGGGGGTGTAGCTAAGTGGCAGAGCACTTACCCTGCATGTGAGGCTCTGGGTTCAATCCCCTATGCCACAAACAGGAAAAAAAAAATCACCCTGCACCCACGCCTCTGTTCTTCTGTCCCATCCCAGAGCCACACCACCAACTAAACAGGGGTCTTGTCACTCAAAAGCTGCTCCTGGTCCCTCTCTGCCATGACTTGGCCTGGAGAGGTGCTTTTGCTGTAATGGACTCCCAGTGTCACCACCACCCCAACCCAGCACGACACCTCAACCCTGCAAGCTCTCAGCATCCTCACCTGCGACACCAGCCACATGCTGGCCCTCTGGGAGGGTGGAATGCACTTCTCTCACTGTTGAGCCTTCCAGGGACTGATAGGGAAAGCTTATTTGATGGAAGTTTTTGTCAGTCATGTTCCTTTTCTAGGTGATGACCTCTAATAAAGGACAACTTTCTTAAGGATCGGCCAAAGAAGAAGCACGTGAACAGCAAAACGGTGTCCAGGAGAGTTTTTATTCATACGGAACAGTTTTAAAAATACAGAATAAAATAGCTTTATCTCTACTATTATTCACAACATCTGGTCCAAATATTACATATTCTTAAAATACTTAAACGCTTAATGAAGCCATGTTAGAAAAACAATATGAAAATTCTTTTTAAAAACTCCATAAAAGAATTACACATCTCAAAAAACAACCCTACCCCAAATACCTTCAGTATGCAAAATAAAAATAAAAAATAAAACAAAACCCCAGAAAGGTATATAGGCAAAGTCAGTCACAAAACGCAAGGAAAATAGAGGCATCTCCACTGTTTTAAGAACAGTCAGAAATTTATTAATGTGTCAGACAAACGTTGTCAGGAACAAACAGAAAGGGGGCGCTTGTGGGGATGGTGCCGGGGACACACAGCAACGCTGAGGACACTGGATGTCGGGTGGTGGGGAAGCACAGGCAGCAACAACCTGCGCAACAGGAATGTTCACGAGGCTGCTCGAGAGGGACTCCCAGCGCTGGGGAGCTTAAGAGACCTCAGGTGGAAGCTGAGCGGCTCGCTGGCAAACCCAGGGGTGGGAGAGGGGGTCTTCTCATAGCCTTCGGGGTCTAGCTGCAGGAGGAGCGGAGGGTGGGAGATGGCCTGTTCTCTGCATCTGAATCCTAAGGGGCAGAGGCCAATGCACAGCACCCAAACCCCACCACAGCCAGTTCTCCTGGGCCTGGGGCTCCATGAACACTCAGGTGCGAGAGCGCCACGCTCACCCGGTGTGTGGCGGGCCAGGCTGGCATCTGGCAGCAGCTGGGCAAGCAAGCCCCTTTCAAGCCGTGTCAGGCCTGGTGTCTGCAGCCAGGTCCATAGCCCAAGCAACCCCAGGATGTGGCCTCTCCTCTTGCCAGCTCCTTCCCTTCTATGTGGCCTGACTGGGCCACTCCTGTGGCACAGGTATCACTGAAGATTAGATTTGTCAGCTTTGAATCCAAGTTGCTAGAACGAATATCTCAGCAGGGACATGAATGAAAGACCTAACAGCTTAGCTCATAGTCAGAGAATATATGTATGGGTAAATAAAGTATACACACATACTAGAGATTCATCAATGGAGAAATTGTATCAGTACATGACATTGTCATGAAAATTATATCATTCCCTCCCTGGAAAACTGCGACTTATTCCAGGCAGAAATGTTATTTTACTATATGGAAAATACTGCAATATTCATGCATAAATCAAGTTGTCATCATGAAAGTCAGTATTTTATAGTATAAAGCAAATCCTGTGTGTGAATTTGTTACCACAAAAATGGGAAACCCCAGGACGCTTCATTCGAGCTGGCCTGGGCAGGCCTTTCCTCTTGCCTTGCTCACACACCAGGAAGCCTCAGATTCTGAAAACACAGACGTCCACTACTCACTGAGCCTGCAGCAGTGCCCTGGTGTGAAGCTTGCAGCCCCCTCTCTTTTTCTGCACATTCTGCTCCTCAGGGCCAACACCAATGCTTTCGCCCCAGGACCAGGCAGGTGAAGGTGCAGGCACTGAAGTCAGACACGGAAGGCCCAGTCCAGAATACATTATGACGTCCTACTGGGACACAGCCAGCAGCAGGCCTGAGGAGTGCAGCCCAGCTGTCCACCAAGCCTCCCCCTCTGCGTGCATGCTGCAGCTCGAACACAGATACATGTTCTTTTGCTTCCAGGTACAGACTTTCACTCTGAAGCACATTTGCTAGCAGGACTATGTCCTAACATGGCTTGTGTGTGATTTGCTAGTGATTAGGGGACTCCAGTAACTCAGAACTATGCAAAAAGTGACAGACTCACTTGGGGCATCTTGTCAGGCTGCTCTTGGTCTCCTTCTCCCTCCCTAGACAGAATATCAAAAACTGGCTGCAATGGAATAAGAAGGGTGGAAACCTGGCTCCCCCAGCATGTGAGCACAGGGCTTCCCTGCTGGGACACTTGCTGGCAATTCCGTGTCTCCTGGAATTGAGGCCTCATGATAAAACTGGTGTGCAGAGAGGTCCCCGGGGGATGGGGTCCCCAGGAAGAGGCTGCACACTGGAGGCCTTGCCACGAGGGAAGACGGCCTATCAAGATGAGCTAGGGAACTTGGGCCTGATGCTTTTATTTGTACACTTGCTCACCAGAGAGCCAGAATTCTTCAACTCTCTTGGACACTTAAAGGTTTTCCCCATTTTTCAGAACAGAGATTGGTGATGCTAAGCAAACTATAAAGCAAAGGAATAGAGAGCAACACAGGGCAGGAGAGTGGTCAGTATCAGGCTGGGCAATGGGAACCAGTGTTCTGAGGTCACTACCCACTCTATGCACATCTAGGAAACAAAAAAATTGCATGTAATTTGGAATCTAGGATCTTTACGAGGCCTGCAGTAAGATTTTGGCAAAATAATGCAGCAGCTCTAAAGTGCTCTTGAAGCCCAAAACTTCTGGGAGTCAAGGGAGCTGTGGTGGCACAGCCACAGACCTGGCAATGCGACAAAGCAAGGCGGCCTGGGCACAGGGCACAGAGATGCACTGTGTGGACATGAGGCTGCAGCAGCCAGCCCTGCAGAGACAGGGCACCCAAGGCCATCTGAAGCCAGGCAGGTCAACAAGCACAGAAGGGGCCCAGCCCCTACAGCATGGGCACTGCTTCATGTCTTAGGCTTTTCCATTGGCTGAAAAACTTCACATTCAATAGAAGCCACTTTGTCAAAAATAATTTAGTGTCATAAATTAGAGTTTCCCACAGAGGGAGGCTGCTAGCTGCTTTCTTGTCATCTTCTATAACAACTCACTCAAACAAGGTGGCACATGGCTAAGGGACTCACTTCCCCTGTCAAACCAAGGTTCAGAGGACACGCAATGTGACAATGCCCAGAAAGTCTCCCCAAGGCAAAGCGGCTGGAAATGTCTGGCCACAGGAAAGCGAGCGAAGTGACGTGGTCAGGAGGATGGACCATTCAGTATGGCAGCTCTATTTGGTGACCTACCCAGCTTCCCTTCTTCATAAAACAAATCCATGTGTAACTTCACCCAGAGTTTCTGGGCTCTGGTCCAGTAGTCAATTTTGATAAATAGATTAGGATTACAGTATTTACACTTTCATGGTATCAGGCAATACAAAACACAACCACAACAATGGTTACTGGCCTTCAACAGTTGTTACAATAAGCTTCCTTGATGGTATCCAAGCTTTACAAATGCTGGCACTTTTCTTAATGGGTGTGGAGGTTGGGGGAGAGTACGAGAGGTAACAGGTACACAAGGGAAGGTCACATGGAAAAACACTGATTTGGAAAATCTGCTACAGTCAATAACATTAAATAGGAATAAAATCTTGTTAATTATAGACGTGCGCAACAGTCACATCCACATGACAGCAGAGCTAGGACTCTGAGCTTACCTGGCCAGTGACTTGAGTGGTACCCTGTACCCATGACACCAGCCAGGAGTGATGCATGCCCAACAAGGTGTCTCAGCCATTAAAGGGGTCAGTAGGAAATACGCTGGCTTGGCGGGGACCAGGGTGGCAGGGGAAAGAGCCATCAAGAATCCTATGGGCTTTGGGGTCCTCGCCCTTCCCTTCCAACCCGCTGAACAGGGTTCTACTTCATACCTGTGCAGAACTTCATATGCCCTATCGGGCCCAGGGCAGCAGGCCACTGTTTTCAGGCTGGTCAACAGCCTCCCAGGGGCAATCAGGGAAAACAGAATCACTTGGCAGGCAGTTCTGAGGATGTGAGGATGTGGTGGCCCTAGCCCAGGTGCAGGCTAAGGTCAAGCAAAGAGTAAGTAGACCCAGGTGCTTTGAGACAGAAAGCCCTAGGCCAGGCCCAGGAGGCAGGTGTGGGAAAACTAGCACTGGGCAGTGGGAGGGGATGGAGCAAAAGGACTTGCTGATGACTCTAAATGCCCGCTCCCACGGGAGGGCCAGAATTTCAAGTTCAGTGACCATGGCCAGCAATGGACACTGCCACAGGGCAAGAGGTCAAGGGCTTAAATAAGGAAGCAGGTGAGACACCGTATTGGACACAATTACCCCCCACAACAGGAAAGCAATGTGCAGCAACCTGCCTCCGCTCTGGGGCGTGGGATGTAGATGCAGATGTACAAGCACATATTTGACTTCTTGTTTCTCGGCAAGGAACGACAAGTACGTGCCTCACTGCGGCCAGGCCACAGGGCACAGCTAAGGCTATACTGTGGCCTGAGAGTCTTCGTCTGAACTCCGGCTGTTCTCGCTCTTTCCAAAGCCTTTCCATGTGTAGCCTGCGAAGGTGGGGCTGATGGGCAGGTAGCTGAAGCATCTGTATTTTTTAATAATGTTCATGCCGAATGGTAAGTTGTAGGACTCCATACCATCAAGAGACTTGTTCCCTTTGCTCACGCCCTTCTTCCACTTCCTGATTCCTCTTTCCTCAGGGGTACCTGATTGATGCACACAACCCACACCACAAAACAACACAACACACGCTTAGTTTAACAATTCTATCAGGATGAGGCAGCTGTTCTCAAGCCCAGCCCTGCCTGCACAACAGTGAAGAAGACCTGAGAAGCTAAGGGCCTCAGGTCTGCAGATACCCAAGCACGAGTCCAAGAGGCACTAGCCTTTCCTGCCCCTCTTTTCCCACATCCACATGGCCTCCTGAGGCTTTCTGTCCTCCCATGCTTTCCCATCACCCACATTCTCACTGCTCACCACCGAGGGCCAGCCCAGCCGTGCTACTGCCTTCCCAGGTCACCACGTCAGCCTCCCGACTGCTCACACTGACCTCCCTCTCACCACCCCCTCCTGAACCTGCTATCAAACACTGCAAAAAATACCTCTCTAAAATGTGACTCTAAGTCTATAAAACAGGCCTCAAGTTTTTGTTATACCTACGAAGGCTTCATCAGCCAGCCACTGCATTCTAGCCGCTGCTTTGCTCCCTTTTAGAGTGTGTGTGTACATGCACACAGACACATGTAAGCAGTACTGGCCTGTTCTTGGACTTGAAGGTGTCACTGAGATTTTTTGTTTAAGATAAGCTATTCCAAGGGCGGGCCTAATAGCTCAGTGGATTAAAGCGCCTGCAAGCAGGCGCAGGGGCCCAGGGCTCAGTCCCTGAGCCTGCGTGCTGAGACTGCAATTGAGACTGGGTGTGGTGGTGCACACCTGTAATCCCAGCTCTTGGGAGGCTGTAAACAGGTGGATCACTATGGGTCCGATCTAGCAGTGAGACCCTGAACATCCCGTAGACCCTTCCCTAAAAATAAAAATTAAGGGGGCTGGTGAGATGGCTCAGTGGTCTAAAGCACCTACTTAGAACAAGCTTAACAAAGCACAGCGACCGCGGTTCAATCCCCCAGCACCACATGCCAGCCAGCCCCGCCCCCTGGTGGGCTGAGCTGGTCACACACACACACACACACACACACACACACACACACAAATAAAAATAAAAAAAAAAAAAAAAAGATAAATTACTCCAAAACACCTCAACTAACACTGCTGGGGAGCCAAGGGATAGACACACCAGGTAGCACAATGTACATAGCGCTTTCTCCAGGAAGCTGGGAAGGCTCTGAGCTGGGGCTGTCCTCCAGGGCTCAGCACAGAACCTCACCTGGGATTACAGGTGCTGCAGGCAGGCTCCACATGCCTTGTGCTGTCCTGGCCTTGCTGACCTTAGCCTCTGCTCACTGTCCTCTATGTGCAGCTGCACAGTCAGCTTAGGAAGGACCCTCTAAAGGACAGTCCCATGGAGAAGTGCCAGAGACTGTTACCAGCAGTTCAGGAATATGTGACAACCTGAGGGCCACACTGCAGCTCTGGGCAATGTGAGAAGGGACAGGAGCCTGAGGCGTTGCACTGCCATCAAACCACACCCCCTGCCACTCACAACCAAAACTTATTAACAAAATGATCCCCCCACTCCCAACCGGGGATTGAACTCAGACCCATGCGCTTGCCAGGGAAGCACTTATTCTACTGAGCCATCTCCCTGGCCCCAACAAAATGATTTATAAGTGGAGTGTCATCTCAATGACTTTAGGAGAGATTCAACCAAGAACAGCACTGAACTCTTCTCTTCCTCTCTCCTTCTCGTCCCTGCCCTCTCCCTCCCTGTCTGTCTGAGATGGGGGGCCTCACTATGTTGTCTAAATAGTTTGAATTTTTGGGCTTAAGAGAACCTCCTGCCTCAGCCTCCCAAGCACCTGGGACTAAAAGCATGTACAACCAGGTCTAGCTTTTGCCTCTCATTTTCTGTTCACTTAGAAAAAATAATGTACAAATGTAGTATCATATTTGATATACACCACATACCTGGGATGGTGTTGTCCAAAATGAAAGCCACACAGCCTCCTACAAACATAGCAGTTGTGAGAAGGACGTTTAAGACTTGGTCAATTCCTGTTATGCCTAGAAACAGAGCAGAAACCGTGAGTACCACTGCTGCAGCTGGAGCAGGCCTCCAGGCAGACGCAGCGGGGGCTGCAATCCTGCCAGTTGGCATGGAAGGTGAGATTGTGAGCTGTATACATAGATTTTTTTTTTTTTTTTTTTTTTTAAGGAAGGGTCTAGAGAGTGTTCAGGGTCTCACTAGTAGATCAGACTTGTAGTGAACCGCCCGTTTACAGCCTCCCAAGAGCTGAGATTTCAGGCATAGAAGAATGATTGCCAGTAATGTTTTAAACTCCTATGAATACTTTCAACAAGCATCCCTACAAAGACAATTCCTAAAAGAAGTTAGGTGAACCTATTAAAGTGACATTTGTCCTACAATGAACTGGTATTGTCACAAGCGCTGTCTGCAGACCAAAATCTTTCAAATAAAATATAGCTGTTTAAGGCTAAAAAAATTATACACTGACTGAGACAAAAATGTTCGTGCATCTATAAACAAGCATTCTCAGGAGCCCAGGTTCCTAATCACAGCACAGCTGCTTTCTACCAAGAGCAACTGACTATGACAGTGTCCTCCTGGGAATGCAATGGATTAAAATGTAAAGAGCAGCAAGAACCTCCTTGCTATTAGAAGCTCACATGCTTTCTAAACTTAAAATAAGTGCTTGCTTAGTGTATGCAAAGCCCTGGGCTCAAGTTCCAGCACCCCCCCCACCCCTGCCCAAGAAACACATAAAATCGCCTCCTCTGTCCTTAGTCTCCTTATCTATTTAGTGGCATTGGGTGTGTGCCATCTCACCTAGCTAGCTAGCTATTTCTTGAGATTCCTTCTTTGTTCATTCTTCACGATAACAGGATATGAACATAGCAAGCAGGAGCTGGAAGGTCGATGTGGAACTGCAGATTGCTCCAATGTAGTACAACACACACACCTCAGCCATGCGTGGGGGTGCACACCGGGATCCCATACTCTGGGAGGCTGCTTTGGGGGAGCACAGTTCCCTGCAGCCTGCGAACTGAGCAAGGCCTTGTCTCAAAAAGTTCTAAAAAGGACTAGGATGTTACTTAGTACAAAGGTCCTAGATTTAGTTCTCAGTGCTGGAGGGGGAAAAAAAAGAAGAAAATGAGCATTTCCATGTGTATGACATGTTAGGAAATCATGCATCTTAGCTGGGTGCAGTGGCTTGCACCTGTAAGCCCAGCAACTGCGAGGCCAAGAAAGGAGAACCACCACAAGTTTCCGGGCCAGCCTGGCCTCCATAGTGAGTTCTGGGCCAGTCGGACTACATGACAAGGTTTTGTCTCAAAAAACAAAAAAGCAGACAAAACATAAAAAACCTGCACATGGGCTGGGGAGATAGCTCAATGGAATAAGTGCTTGCCTGGCAAGTGCAAGGTCCTGAGTTTGATCCCTGGTACCACAAAAAAAAAAAAAAAAAAAAACCCTGCACACTATTAGACATCTCAATAGGTGTAGCTTGAAAAAGGCATTTAATAGAGAGGCAGTCTCCTGGGGGAGAGGACTTGGCTTCCATGTCAGGTGTGTTCTGGCTAACATGAGAGGGGGACTCCACAGAGGGTGACCTGAAGAGACACACAGGAGGGTTCACCATTCCTGCCTGTGGAGGCTCGATGTCTCTTCTACCTACCTGTGACCAGAGGGTTCTGTCTGAGGTAACTGGGAAGGACAAGCCCAAAGAAGATGGAAAATCCAAGCACAAAAAGGTTCCGGGAAGAATTCAAGTCAATGAACTGCAGGTTGGACAGGCCGACTGCGGTGATCATTCCTGCAGGAGAAACACAGACTCAGATCCCAGGGCCTAGGATGAGGGCCTCTCCCTGTGCAATGCTGATTAAACCGGGAGCTCACCCAGAAATCAGACCCCTGTCCCCAGTTACTATAACTTAGTGGTGCAGCCACCAAATCCAGAGTACTGCTGTAGAAACGGTCAGTTGTAAAACTGCCTATTCATAGGGAATGTATTTCAATTAAAACAATGAGAAATTCCTCTGAGGCTAGATTTAATATTAATTTTCATACTGCTGGATCTACCTTTTAACATAAATTCAACTAAAAAAATGTAGGACTTTTTTTTTTAAGATTTAACTTTGTTTTAAAACAGAAATTTACTGATATTGCTTCGCTTTTACTGAAGGGAGTCCACAAAGGTCCCAAGAGCCCTGCTGAGAGCTAGTAGTGTGAGGACAGGAGCTGGAGGGATGGAGCTGGGATTACCAAACAGCGTGCAGAAGAGGGCTCCAAGCACCGGGTCAGGCAGGGATGCGAAGAGGGCACTGAACTTGCCGATCATGCCCAGGCCAAGCATGAGTGCTGCGCCGTACTGGATCACCCGGCGGCTGCCCACCTGTGGGTACATCAGAGGGCAGACGCTCAGTCCCTGCTCCAGCAGCACCCACGGCCATCCTGGCCTCCCCAGGTAAAGTCTGTCCTCAGGCATTACCTAGATCAGCTCCTCAACCCTCAGGGACAGGATGCTCGTTAATGATGCCTGCAACTGCCAAGGAGCACTTGCGCCACCCATGGTCCTCTCTGAGGCTCACTCTACTGTCCTCACTGGGTAGGTGACCTTGGGGGGTCAGGGAGCAGCTGCTTCCCTAGCCCCAGGTGGTGCCAGGCATATACTAGGCCTGCTTCTCTGCTGGGTCCCTCATACTACCTTTCCCAAGTCAGCTACCAGGAACACATTAGCCTCAACTCCTGTGCCCCTGCCCAGTGAGACAACCCCTACCCCACGTCCTGGAACCCCCTCTCTTCACACACACATCCTGCCAAGACAGCTGCCATGGATGAGGGCCCAGAGGGCAGAACGAGTCCACCTGGACCTCCTGTGGATATGCATCCTTGCTGGCTCTCAGGATCCTCACCTACCATGTGTTCTGTTCTGCTTAACAGAGTGATGGCATGTGCCTGAAGGGGTCTGACTGCGTGGTGAGCACTGGCCCTTTCTCCACCACTGTACCTTCTACCACCATGAGTAACTCTTCTACCACACTGACGTGTGTGTGTGAGTTCTTGGCTTAATTTCCCTGGCATGTAGGAAAGCAAATCTCCATCTCTGGTTTTTTCTCAACAAGCCACACCTGCCAACACATTCCTTCATCTGTGTCTGGGTCCCAGGCATGCCGGGACTTACCTGATAAACCTGATCTCTACTTTCTAGAAGGTTCCACCTCCCCTGGTGTCACCCAGATAGAGAGGTGGAACTAACCTGAATCAAGGGCATGGCACTGTTGGCCCTACACTTTGGTGTCTCCCATGGAGTAAACCCTGAGGGTATTCAGGGCTTTACTTATAGTGAGAATATGGCTACTTAAACAAACCGAAATGAAACAAAATTTAAAATTAGTTCTTCCTTCACTGGAGGTCTAGTGTTCTTGTTCCCCCATTGCAGAGCTCTGGGCAGTGCTGCCCTTCAGACCCAAAAGCTTCTCCCTGGAGCCAGCCAGAGAAGCATCAGAGCCTAAGCTCTACTATCTGATGAAGAGAGCCTGTCCAGCTGGAGCTGTGGCGACTCAGCCCCTCCATATAGCACACAGGGTGGGCAAGAAGAGGGAAGACCATGCCAACAGATGAGCTGAGCAACACTGACAGGCTTGGCTGCAGAAGTGCAGCAAGGACGCCTTTCATTCACAGATGGATCATTTTTCAGCAGGCATCTATGAAGAGCTACTATGTGACCAGCATGTGTTAGACCAGACAGGAAGGTACACAGATAAGTCTAAATTCTGGGGTCAAATAACTGTACTGTCCCACTGGGTGGGAGTGTGGCTGCAGGGAGGAGAGAATCTGAGCAGGGAAGGGGCACTGGAGTGAGGCACAGAGGAGAGAGATCATGGGAGGGAGGGCCGGGACCAGTAGAGCAGCCTGCATGCTGACTGGGCAACTTCTGCAGGCAGGAGGTGGGAGGGACGCCATAGCTTAGGCGAACATGGATCTGCCTTTGTCACTATCAAAACCAAGCAGCAAGTAAGCCACTCCTCTGTTCAGTGACCCTACCTGAGTGCCTCGCTGTGCTCTTAGCTGAACAGCAGTGGCACGGCCCTCCAAGCAGGCACACAGGCCCTCTGTGCCTTCACCCCTCCTGCACTCCTGGCAGCCTCATGTGTAGCCCCTCCTGAACTGAGAAGGCTCTGCCTATAGGACTGTCAGAGACCAAACCCTTCCTTGCTGACTTCCCAAGTTTACAGCAATGTGGGATGCAGAACAGAGCCATGACCGTTACAGATACCACCCAAGATACTACAGGGAGAAGGGTTCACTCTCCCTCGAATCAAGCCAAGGGCCAACCAGCTCCAAGAACAAAGCCCACACCTACAGCTTACTATGGACCAGCTGCATCAAGAGGCCGAGGGCTTTTCATTAAGTAACTGGCTGCAACATGCGCAAGCTACCTTTTATTGACTACACCCTGGTGACCAGAAAGGCAACGTAAGCTGTCCAGGCCTATGTTAAGGTACAGTGCTAGAGATGGCTGAAATCCAAGACCAGCCCCTTCCTACCATGCTGTGCTGCCCACTCAGCAGAGGAGTCGCATTCTGCATCTCTGGGTACGTGCAGAATGTAACAGCTGGATGCGGAACTGCTGGCAGTGAGGCATACCCTCTGCAGGGACACAGAGCCTTCCTCTAATACACCTGGGAGTCTGGCTCAATGGCTCTGAGCAGCAGCAGCCAGCAGAGCTCTCTTCAACAATGGGAAAAGTCCTTCCTGCTATGCTGTCCACAGGCAGCCACTGAGCCACTCGGACCACTGGCCTTGGAAATGGGGCTGCTCTCACTAGGGAAGTGAGTTTCTAACATACTCAAACTTCAGTTTCATGTGGGTACTGACTACCATACTGCAAAACATGGCTCTCGATCCAGGGACTTCAGAGCAGTGGCTTGTCTAGTCTCTCACTAGATGAGGGGCAGAACTCAGCGCAGAGTCCTGGCCACTTCCTGCTTGACAGGATCCTCCCACAGCCCGCGGGACTAGGCCACACAGACATCTCTGCAGCCAGTCTCATGGCCCATGCTGAGGCAGACATTCACAGACCCAATCCCTTCTCTCATGGATCAAGTCTTGTGATTCAGAGTGGTGCAAACCTGATTTCAGGGCTGACACTCTACCATGCAGGGGATGCCACTTGTGCCTGGGGGAGCAGCTCCACTGCTGGGCCCAAAGGGCTCTGGGACAACATCAATTAGCTCATTAAAGAGTGTTGGCATGCCAGGCACCATGGTGCACATCTGTGATCCCAGTACTCAGGAGGCTGAGGCAGGAGGATCACTGAGAGCTCTAGGCTAGCCTCAGCTTCACCGTGTGTTCAAAGCCAGACTAGCGCACTGAGATCCTGTGTCTTTAAAAAACAAAACAAAAGTTTTGGCAAACTGTCTTTTCAGAACAGACTAGAGCCGTTCAAAGTTTCATAAAGATAATTATTTCTCCAAACCACTTCAGTCATATCGTAGATTTCTTATTTCCTTTTTATGATCCTGGTTAAGTTACACCACATGTGTTAAAAAGGTAGAGGGGGTCAGAGAGATAGCTCAGTGGCCTAAGTGCCTGCCTGGCAAGCACAAGGTCCTAAATTTAACCTCCCGGACCAAAAACAAAAAAGGTACAGAAGGGAACTAGCTTATTAAATAACTTTTCCATGAGTCCTCCACCAACATCTACAACAGTTTTAAAACTATCTGATCTTCGAACCCCCCTTATATACCTACAGGGTCAGGGCTGCCAGCTGGCTAAGGAGAAAGGCTCATACCTCTCTTCAGCACAGGCAGCAACCCAACCAGAGGAATTGTGCTGGAGGAAGTGGCCACCAGGGGGCCCTCCCTCCCTCCCATGCCATGCCCTGGGAGCTTCCGGCAACAGATGGGGCCACTGGGACAACATGACGCTGAGCCCTGGGCAGGCCTGGCAACTGGGGGAGCCCAACAAGACAGGCACACAACCTGGTACACGGCTCCTTCTTACCTGTGTTTGTAATAAAGAGGAATCATATTTGGTTTCTTTTTACTTGATTATAGGATCTTGTGTAGAGCTGGGGGAAGGCTTCTTTGGAAATCCACCCCATCCCCACCTAATCTTACAGAGGTCAGACAGGTCTGAAAGGCTTGCAGGTTCACCCCCAAGTTCCCAGGTGAGGAAAACCATGACTCATGAGGTAACCAAAGATGGGGAACCAGTTCTAACAGTCTCTGTTTGCATAATCTTCAGTGGCTAGGGGTCAAGCCACATTCCTCAACATCCTGCAGGCAGCACTCTCTATCCTGCAGCAACTGGGATATAATTACGTGACAGTAATAAAGGTGAAAGGCTAGGGTCCAGGGAGATGGCTCAATGGAACAAGAGCTTCCATGGCAAGCACAAGGGCCTGAGTTCAATTCCTGGTTCCGCAAAAAAAAAAAAAAAAAAGGGAAAGGCTGGTGTGGGGGGGCAGGCTTCTTCTTGTGGAAATAGTTCGGGAGTAGAGTAGCCCCAGGTTTATAAGTCTGTGTCTGGGTACAGTGGAGAGTGGATGGGGCAAACAGGAGGACCAGGTCCTGCTCAACCTGAAGCCTCGTGGAACACCACATCCCCTAGAAAGAGGATTCTGCCTGGGAGGTTGGAAAATTGCACCATCTCTTTAATACGAGATGACTATTTCTGCCACAAGGGGAATCATCTCTCATCCAGAACTCCTAACGGCTCCCAACTGTCTCCTGCTTCTACCCACCTCCGACTACTCTCACCACAGCAGCTAAAGTGACTCTGACACATCAGTCAGCTCAAGTTGCTCCCTGCAGCACCCACTTCCATGCCGTCTGGATTACCTGCTGGCCTCACTGCTCCTTTCTGTGCCCTCTGCCCCACTGGCCTCCCAGCTGACTTCCACGTCCAGGTCAGCGGCCTGCCATGGCCACACCCCTGCCCAGATGTTCTTGGACTGTTATCTGTAGCTCCCTTCCGCTATCCTTCCAGCGAGGTCTGGTTGGCCAGCTTAACACTGAGTCATCCTCTGCTGGCCCCTCATCACCCGGAGGCCCCTTGTTTCGGGCATCCTCTCTCCTGGGTTCAACGTCATCCACTGACCTGCTATGCTGACTACTGAATGCCTCTCCTTGCTGGCACACAAGCTCCCATTTTTCACTGATGTACCCCCAACTACTGCACCCTGAGCCTGCACAGGTGGGACTGAATAGGCGTTTGCAGCTGCATAAAGGAAAGACACACACACACACATAATAAAAATTAAAAAAAAAAGACAGCACCTGAGTGTCGCCCTCCCCAGGCTGGCAAGGGACAGACGTTTCCAAAAGGCATCCCCAAAACTCACCAAAGGGAAACAAGGGGAGGGGAGAAGATGACCTCAGAATTCCAAATGGAATGGCCATGTTAATGAGAAAAATATCTGTACCTTTGTGATTCCCAAGACGCCAATGTTGGGGCTAGATGAAGTAGAGCCATTCCCAGTACCAAATACGCCATCGAGAACACAGGAGAGGCCCTCCACAAAAATTCCCCTACAACATAAAGAGATGGAGCAAGAGAAACAGTCACTCAGTGGGGGAACACTGAAACAAGTTCTGAACGTTTGCAGCCCGTGAGTGTGGCCCCCAGCTGCACTCCTGTTCCTCCTGGGGAGCGGAGAAATGCAGAGTTGCAGGCCCAAGCTGTGGACACCCAGTCTGCGTTCCTATGGGGTCCCTCTTGGTCATGAATTTTAAGAAGTGCCTCTCTAAATTCTACGCCAGACAAAGTGCTCTGAAATATTTTCAAATGAAAATGAAGGACTGGCCGTGTAATAAAGCCATTTGATGAAGAGTTGTCCAGTGAAGTTAAGACATACTATTTGGTTCTTCTATTGTACAATTTCATTCAGAAGAAAGTATCTTATAATCTTATAAACACTGAAACTTTTAAAAGTATGAGTAGTTTCATCATATGCAACAGTTCCATTCAAAAGAGATACAAAAAACCAGAACTAAAAATATTCAGACAGAACCCGTATGAGTCATGCTAAGAAACCACGTGCTGATCCGCTCCAAACAATCCTTTTTGGAGCAGCAGCAGCTGACAGCTGGGAACTGGGGCCGAATCTTTTCGGTGCAGCCTCCGGGTCAATTTTCTACTGATTTCCAAAAGCTGAAGACCAGGAGTTCTGTGGGCATAAGCCTCACAGCTCAGAAATCTCCAGACCCTGCAAATCTCTTCTCTTCCTGTCCCAGTCCTATGACTAGTAACTAGTAACTGCACAGCGTGCACACAACCTGCCTTAAGAGCAGTTGGAGTGCACCTAGCACACCTGGAACAGTACTGTCTGCTCATCAGGCTGTTACTATGGATGCAAGAAGGGTGCCTCCATTCACCTTCCGTCTGTCCAGCTGTGGAAGCCAGGAAAGAATGGTGCAAACAGAATTTTCCAACTCAGAAACAATGAAAAGCTTGTTCTACTCCCAAGAGAGTAAAATTTGAGCTTATATGTAGAAGCAAAAACAGCTGGGAAAAAAAAGAAAATCAAAGTAGACATATATGAAAATGACACAAAGCCAGAGTAAGGGCAATGCTGGCATTTGCTATGGTGAGTTTCAGGTTTTTTTTTTTTCTTTCTGAGACAGGGTTTCATTATGTAGCCCAAGCTGGCCTCAAACTCACAGTGATCTTCCTGCCTTGCCTCCTGAGTGCTGGGATTATAGGCGTGTATGACCATACCCTGCTAAATTTCAGGGTTTAAAGTAGACTCACAGAGACTCCCCTGCTTGTCACTGAGGGGAGGAGGGAAAGTATCTTCTGTTAGAGGTGAGGAAAATGACAGCAAATGAGGGCAGTGACTTAGCCCGAGACTCCAACAGTCTCACTGTTCGACTGCATGGAGTCTTGGTTCTTCCCAGGAGGATGTCTATATAACTAAGCCTGCTCCGGCCATACCTGTTTATTGCGTGAATGGGAGGCGGCGGGGCACAGGAGAGTCTGGCGCAGGCGTAGTAGTCACCAATGGACTCGATGATGCTGGCCACAACAGCGCTGAGCATGCCGATGACGCCGGCTGCAGAGACGGTGGGCAGCCCCCACTGAACTGAGGACAGAAGAAGACAACCATGAGAGGCGTACACTCTCCTGGGGACCAGGCAAAAGTTACAGGGGCTCAGGGGACTCTGCAAGAGCCACTTAAATTCCAAACTCACTCCAGTAATTTTAAATCTTAATCACTGCTGGGGCATGGTGGTGCCCCAGCTGAGGCTGGAGAGTCACAATGAATTCAAAGCCAGCCTGGACTATATGAGTTCAAGACCAGTCTGAACTATATGGTAAGACCCTGTCTTAAAACAAAACAACTTAATCATTAATGTACCAGCTGCTCAGGAAAGTCAGATCCTACTGGTCTATGCTGTCTTATTTTTAAAAAGATATCCCCTGCCAGGTGTGGTGCTGCACACCTCTAATCCCAGCACTCCAGAGGCTGAGGCAGGAGTATCACCATGAGTTTGAGGCCAACCTGAAGTATGGAGACTGTCTCAAAAAATCAAAAAGGAAGACATCCCTTGACCAGAAGAGATATGTACTTCTCTTCTTGCTTTGAAATCACACTCAGTGTTTGCTAAACTGTGATTTAACTCTGCTGTGGTAAAGGCAGAACGCGCATGAGTTGGTCTATGCACTGCTGCAAAGAGCACAGTACAAAATAACAGGGAATTTGCCCACAGGAAGGCACCAACTGAACAAACAGTAGTGTGTGAAGATACAGACAATCGGGGCCAGGGAGATGGCTCAGTAGAATAAGTGCTTGCCTGGCAAGCACAAGGGCCTGAGTTCAATCCCCAGTTCCGCAAAAAAAAAAAAAAAAAAAAGATACAGACAATCCTTTGCCATGTGACGGGTACTTTCAAAAAAAGTAAACCACAAACCATGTTATAAAATGGTAATAGCTCTGTTTTAGAAAGCAAAGTCCCATTGTAGTTTCATTTTGATTGTCTGGATTGGCCTAATTTTTCATCAGACATTTTTCTTAAAAAATACGTATCATGGCTGGGCATAGCAGTGTATGCTTATAATCCCAGGGCTCAGGAGGCTGAGGAAGATAGCCGTGAGTTCAAGGTCAGCCCTCACTTCCTAGTGAAACCCTGTCCTAAGAAAACAAAACAAACAAACAAAAAACCCCACCAAACAGGGTCTTGCCCAGGGTGGCCCCAAACTTCCAATCCCCCTGCTTCAGCTTCCCAGGTAGCTAGGATTACAAGCATCTGTCAACAAGCCTGGCTCAAATCTGCTACTTTCTGAGCATCAACTTGATACCACACAAGTGGAAAATTCCACACCTCACCCCATGTGATACACTAGTCAAAACACAGGTGGACTAAAAGTACTGTGTAAAACCTATCTTCCGGCTGTTGTGAGTTAGGTGTACATGAAACATAAATGAAAATGAACTTCCTGTATAGCCCATTAGGTTCTTTCCCCAGGACATTTCATTATGTATATGCAAATATTCCAAAATCCCCAAAACAAATGGAATAAAGCATTTTGAAATCCAAAACACTCCTGGTCCCAAGTTTTTCTGGAACAGGGATACTATTTTCAGACAGTGGATTCTAATTTGTCAGCCTCTTTACGCTGACTGCCTTCTTGTTTTCCCCTTTTTAGCTGAAGTCCTTAAATCTGATTGCTAAAATCTTTATTTCATCCATGCTAGCATTTAAGCTTGTACTTTCCCTGTTTCCTCTTTCTCCTTCAGCCTCTGTCTTTTAAGATAAAACTGTTACTTTATCTCTCCAATTTGCTTTGCTATTCTACACCAGATTTCCCCCCCAACTTTGGCACTGCCGACATTGTGGGCCAGAAATCTGTACATTTAATGGCAGCCCAGGTGGTTCTTACTATGCCAAAGGCTGGGCGCCATGGTGCTTAAGGTCTAAACCTTGGCTCTGATTGATCCAAACCGCAGTGCATACACTCGCTGAGGCTGCGAGAGGTGGCTTCCCACCCGCCAGCTCAGGTCATGCACCAGCACCCACCCGAGGGCTGTGCTGAAGAGGAGCCTATTTTGACTCACTGAGTGACCCCATCTTGCCCTGCCGTGCTCCTGCGGGCACGCACCTTGGCAGCTGCCCGCGCCAGGTGCTAGGGAGGCTGCCCCCCACCCCAGCCCTCCTGCGTCATCTCCTGACTGGCTCACCAAGAGATTTTAATCTCATTTCATCTTGGATTAGAGACCTGCTTGTGAACCAGGCTCATTCTTTGTGGGAATGGGATAGGCGCGTATAAATACACACTTAGGCCCCATGTGATCTGATCAGAGTGTTATTTTAGAAACATTAAATTTCATAAAGCTTTTGTGAATGTTGCAAGAACAAATGGGACATCTGCCAGCACGTTCGTCATTCAGCATGCTTGGAGTCATCTCCTCCAACCTTAATAGGTCTGGCTTTCCTTGCTTCTTCTCCATGTCATTACAAAATATGAAAACAAAACAGGTCGACAGGGGAATAAATTGGCTCAGCCTGACTAAGTGTGGGCTTTACTCTAACAACCCAAATCTCAGGGACAGAGTCTTCATGGTAGAACAATCAAACATGTGCTCACACGAGGTACTTCCAGGTCTAAGATCCAGGATCACACTGCATGTGACTGCACATGATACCTAGAGATCATATTCTCTGCCCCATGCCATCCCCAACAGGTGAATTATAACTTAAGACCCATCTTCCGGCAGGCTGTATCAGTTTACCCCTGCAGCTGTGACCAAATTAAAAAGATTAGAGCCACCCATTAAAAGATTATGTAAATTCCATCATGCTTGAGCGGCTGGCTTGCTAATCTCGAGGCCTATCCCATTCAGCCTTCCCATTTGGCTGCTCTGGTACCAAGCAGCTCCATACCTGCCTTTCTCTGCAGCTGCCCTCAAAAGCTGGCCAAGAGGGCTAAAGCCTAGCCAAGATCGCTAAGAGCCAAGTTGTTAATCTGAGAAGGGGGCTGGCTGGCTCCCAGTGCTGACTGCCCACAGGGGACAAGGTCACCCAATCCTCATGTGACAAGACATTCTGGAATAAAGGCTCTTCAGGCCATACAGTTTTCTGCCTGCTTCCAACCCCTCTAAGTTGGGACTGCAGACTCCCAACGTCTCTGGCTATGGGGATACTTACATGGGTAGGGAACCTTAAACCAAGGGGCGACCAGCAGCACACCCTGCCTGGCATCTGTGCGAGCATAGAAGCCGTACTTGGTGCTGTCAGGAGGGAAGACATCGGTCACCGTGAAGATGAAGCAGAGCAGCCAGGACACAAGGATGGCCAGGATGATCTGGGGAAGTCAAGGAGAGAGGCTCTGTCGGGCCAGCAGAACTGCCAGGAGTTGGGCAAACACACCTTTCCTTTGGCGTGGCGTGACCATTACACTTAGTCTCTAGTGCCAGAACTGCAGCTATCCCCTACCCACATGAGCAGCACCCGTTTACCTGGCCCTTACTGAGTCTGCTGAGTAAATCAGAATGCGCATCACATCTACAGATGCTACACAGCATCGAATCTTAGTCACAAGATTGGAGGTCACTGTCCTCCATTGACACTGCTACAAAAATGTCTCCCATGTTGGGATTAGAACTTCGTACAGCCTAAGCTGTAGGGTGAGTGGGACAGTCACCAGCACCCAGAGGTCTCCATGCAGTCAGCTTGAAAGGGTATGCTTACCCTTCCCTTTATGGGAACATCTCACACATGCAAGCATCTTAAAATGAAATGGTGGCAATATGGCAAGAGAAAAGTCGACTACTTACAGGGAACATTTTGAAAAGCTGTAACTTATATGCAGTCCATCCTTTCTTGGATTTATAAATCGGGAGAGGAAATTTAACATTTCTGGCATATTGAGAAAATAGTAATACTAGGAAAATTGTTCTGAAAAGAGAAAGAAAATAAACGAGTTTAAAGATGTCATGTCCATGTTTTGTTTTGTGTTGCTGTTTTTTGTGATATTGAGGATTGAACTCAGAGCCTTTACACTGAGCCATATGCCCATCATCCTTTTATTTACGATTAAAAATCATAGTGATCCTCCTGTTTTCAGCCTCCCCAGCACTGGGATTACAGGTGTGTGCCACCATGCCCCAACTCAATCGCTGGCTCAGGGCACCCAGGGGCAGGGCCGGCACAGCATACAGTATCTGAGATTGAACCCCGGTCCACGTGCTTGCCTAAGCAGGTGCTCAGTCCACTGAGCTATACTGCCAGCCCCCAGCATCCTTTTTTT